TAATATCTAGATCTCACCCCATTTTGAAAATGTTACTATGCATAATACGGCTTGTTTTTAAGGTGTATAAATGCATTTTATAATTGTAGAACCTGATGAGAATTTATTGAAAAGGATATTCTTAGTTCATATTGTTCATAATTATTCATCTCTTGTTAAACTAAACTCCAATTCTCAGTACTGTTATTCGTTTTAGTATAATCACATTCTCTTAGTATTACCATACTGATGTGGCACGAGCTTAACAATTTATGCATTTTCTTTGTATTGCATTTTGTCAAGAACTTCGTTCAATTTTACGTATCAAATGAATATAAAGTATGGAACAGTTTTAATCTTGTCTCATTTCCCTTCATCCAAAAAAGTTTATTTTTTGGTACTCATACAAACTGTAGGCGGTTAAGGTGAAAAAGCACCTCTCTTCTCATCCTTTTAATACACGTTTCTATAGCATGATATCAGTTTGCAAAACACTTTAAATCTAGGAATTACGAGGAATTGAAAGCTGAACAAAATACTTGAGATAAGTATATTCATTATCTGTCCCTTGAGTTCCTAGTGGAACCTAAGACTTCAGCAGCACGTCTCCATTCCACTCTCTTCTCTGCAGTATTTTCAATCTGGCTACACGACTGTCCACTAGCTTTCATTTCCTCCTCACACGATCTCCTCCATGTCACCCTCAACTCAGACACCCAACTCGTCATTTCCAATTCGCCTTTCACTCGACGATCTGGTCTCACACATGATGTCCTCAAACCATCTTCTACACAAAGTATGTTGAATTAATTTCATCCCCACTCTCTTCTGCATATTTGTTGGGCGATATGTTCTTGCTTCGTTGGTTCGTTGCCAGCCAGCCAGCCAGCCAGCCAGCCAGCCAGCCAGCCAGCCAGCCAGCCAGCCAGCCAGCCAGCCAGCCAGCCAGCCAGCCAGCCAGCCAGCCAGCCAGCCAGCCAGCCAGCCAGCCAGCCAGCCAGCCAGCCAGCCAGCCAGCCAGCCAGCCAGCCAGCCAGCCAGCCAGCCAGCCAGCCAGCCAGCCAGCCAGCCAGCCAGCCAGCCAGCCAGCCAGCCAGCCAGCCAGCCAGCCAGCCAGCCAGCCAGCCAGCCAGCCAGCCAGCCAGCCAGCCAGCCAGCCAGCCAGCCAGCCAGCCAGCCAGCCAGCCAGCCAGCCAGCCAGCCAGCCAGCCAGCCAGCCAGCCAGCCAGCCAGCCAGCCAGCCACAATGAGTTCCCTCTTGCTTATTCTTGGTGTTCTGGCCACCTGATCTTCAGTATTGAGTGAGCGTAAGGGGCAGCTGTTGATGAAGTATGTCTGCATTTTGTTGGACATGCTTTATGTAACGTGCCAAGTCTCTCAACCGTCATGTAGAAGCCGTGAATTGACCGATTTAGTGTTGGAAATCCCAATCCTATTCACGCTTAATGCTGGGTGGAGTGGGTTGGGGTGGGGTGGAGTGGAGTGCAGTAGATCTGCACACTGATTATTTGAAATTAATGAAGGCCTGCCTTGCTGTTATTCCGTTCCTGTCTTTGACATCCTTATCTGTGCCTGTACCACCTGTAGTTGCAAACGATGCTGCCTAGGTAGAGAGGTAGGTGAGACAGACAACTTTCTTTAGATTTCTCCTGTTCATGGTGATTCGTGCTTGTTGTTGTTGTTGTTGTTGTTGTTGGTGGTGGTGGTGGTGATGAAGATGGTTCGGTATCTCCATCACCCCCATCTTCTCTACGTTTACCTGAAGGAGGTGCAGCCTTCGCTGTCCTGCCTCTTCTGTCAACGCGTTGGTTTCGCCTGTACATCTTCTAGTTTGTGCGACGAGACATTAAACATAAATCATCATTGTTGACGAAATCCAAATCTTCTAGGTTTTTTCATCTGTCAAACAGGGTATACCCATTTTCTCGCTCCTGACGTTTCGCTGCATGATCTAGTCCGGTTCAATCGACCACAGTCAGGGAGATTTTCGGTGACAGTATATGGCAGTCTTGTCTTACTCCTGTCATCACTTCGAAGTCATTGCTGAGTTTTTTTATTGTGAATCCCGTGGCATGTAGCCTCATCATATAGCATAAAGCTGTTGAATGAGGTTGGTGAAGTTTTGTGACACTAAAGCTGTAGTGCTGAAGCAGCTGGAAAATTACTTGTCATTCGACGCTATTGCGGGCCTTTTGAAAATCGATTTAAAGGGAAATAAGGACTACCAAAAGAATTCATATATACACTGTTGTCGTAAGTAATTTGAACTGATTGCTACTCTGATCAAGGTGGTCCTGTTGCTGTACACCAGTTTTACTCACTTGTAGTCTAGTTCAGACAGTTGAACTGCATAAAAACAAATACTGTCTTCTTGAAACATGAAAATGTCTGATTGATTACACCTAGTTAGTGAGTTTACATTAAACTGTCAGTGAAAGAGAATAGTAAAGATCAAGAAGTTTTGAGGAGGAATAGATATCATAACTCAATTGTTTCTTTTTAATGGTAAACATATTTTAAATTTTTGTGCACGTTTACAGAGCCATTCTGAAACGCAGAAGCTAAAATGAATAGCAATAACATAGTCTGAATACCTATCTATAGATGATTTTCAACTCTGAGTGGTGATGACTATGACATTACAAAAGCCTGTACTTACTTTTGATACAATTTATTGTTATGTTATAATAATTGTGTAGAATTTCTTATCCACTAAACTGCCTATCATCTGAAATATGTAATTATCGATTTCCGGAAAAATTTGTTTTATGTACCGTTATATCATCGGATTACTCAAAACTGTGCAACCAGTGTTCAAAGTGATTTCCAGCATAAACACGAAGAACATCCAAAATCAGACAAGGTTAAACAACCGGCTTCATTCAAATTCGTGTAAGGGAAGAATTGCATGAAATTCCTAAAATACCTTTTAGTCCAACTTTAACATTACCCGGAAATATTTATCCAACACCATCTAACCAACCATCACGAATTTAGGGTTATTCAAACGAAAACGAATCAGTGTTTTAAATTTATTTCAATATGTAATTTACTTTGTGGCTACCTTCACATCGTTCATGCATTCTTATTTACACTACTTATAAATAGCAAGTAGTAATACGTGATCATTCAATTTTACTGCCATTGTCTGCTTCATCGCCTATAGAGCCTCGACAATGGTGTGCTTGTGTTTAGCATATTAATGTTTCAGTGCACTAACTTTTCTTATAATTTCTTGATTTTTTTTACCCTCTCACACTCGCTTCACAGGTGTAATCTTTTTCCTTGAAATGCTATTTATTTCTACTCCGTCTACTTATTCAAGGCTTTGATTCGAGATTTATTGTCATCCTTTACTCGTTTATTTCTTTGTTGATACACCTCTTGGATAGTTCCTTTGAAGCTGCAGTGCACACTTAAACACTTCATGAGTTGAAGTTTGTAGCTTTATTAGTCATTATTGTTATTTGTAAATATAGTGCTACACTGTAGGAAAATCCTTCATTTCTCATCAGCGTGTTACGTATACCATGATCGTTTGGTTTCTGAATATAAGAGTAAAACTTGTGCACTGTGGTAGAATGTAGCTCCATTTTTATTGATTTATTATACGTATCACACAGTGTAACAGTATTGTTTACTAGATTACATTTCGGACATAATTTACTGTCCATAGTCATATCAAGATAACCATACAACCTTGAGATATCCTTTATATAGTTCTAATTTTCTCGTCCCGTCTTTTGGTTTCTAATCGTTGAATCTTTATTGAAAAGTTTTTTTTGAAACTCCAGAAAAAATTATGCAGTAATGAAGTTTAGAAAACATGAAGTGATATATGCACTTAAGTCGAACTTAAGTGACTACATAAAGATTAAAGGTTTTACGCAATTCACTGAAAATCTTAGGCGTGGTAGTTAAAACTGATTACATGAGAGCAGTTCATAGTAAATTACTCAATCAGATTGTCATATCAGAAATGTCAGTCTATCATGGTTGAAGATGACGGATGACTATACAGCTATGAATTCTTTTATTTCCATCGATGACTACACCAAGGACATAAGTTAATCCAACTAGCTAGGTTAAACGAGAACATCATATTGAAGGAAATTTTTGAACTCAAAAGTTTCCTTAAAATTTGTTGACATTAAAAGCACCGTGGATACCGAATGAAAGTCTAGACTGTGGGTGTATAGGAAGTACTTTATTTAGAATTGGTTTTACGAATAAGACCCATGAAAATATGCGCAATAAGGTGTATAATTTCAGGTAGACTACAAAGTATTTCAACTAATTACTTAGGGAATAGGAAAAGTGCCATTGTCAAGCAAATGTTTCGATTGCTCTTCTTACATGGTCAAACTTATCAAGATCAGTAGATTTCAAGTAGCTGAAACAACCGTTAGAAAGATGTATTTCACCTTGGTTTCCTGTTTATCGGTATTCGTGTACAGAGTGTTTGTTTTTTCTAACGAAACGATGCTACTTAAAAGGTACTATCCATTATCATTGAGTGCTGCAATCAGAGACATTAACCAATAACTATTCTAGAAGAACATACACTTCTATATAAATGGATTAGATACGTTCACGATCTACTGATTTGTGCCATGTTGATCAGACAACATGATATTAATACATAGAAGCTCACAGATAAAGACTGTAAACCTAGAACTTCATGAAGCATTTTTGAGTCTCTAAATTCACAAGAAATCCTAACAACTCAGAAATGAACATTGTCAAAGACTATAAACATACAAAAATCTAAGTTCATGGATACCTTCAAATGCTTACGATGACTTTGTGTTAAGAGAAAGCAAACTGTGATAAACATATTGTAATAATCTTACTATAATTATGTCAGTATTGCTAAACGTGAGCTTATACACTTCTAGAATTAGTATCTACGATGGCTTTCGATTACCTTTTAATCCATCAATGAATCAATCAAGTCAACCATGTGATTGACAAAGATGACAGAGATTTTCTTTAATTTTACTTTAGTATCTAAAATACACATGGTAATCTTTTCTATGAAAATCTGTACAATCACTTGTAATTTGTTTTGTTTTTTTTCCAGATCACTATCAGTATAAAATATATGCTGATGAAATAACTTCCAAGTATGAATCATCAATTGACCGGGATCATTCAAAACCTACCATACCATTTGTATTTAATACACCACCAACAAATAATCAGTTATACTACAACACACAGGATCCAAATGTATCAGATTTATATGAAGATGAATTAACAATAAATTCCTATCTTGATGATAATTTCAATGAAAAAGCTAATAACAACATTAATAATTATGAAACAACAGAAGGCTCAATTATTCCTATTCATTCAACAGTTAACTCAAATCTATCTAATTCATCATCATGTTTAAGTATAACAAATCTACACGAGAAACGTAAACAAAGAAGAATTCGTACAACTTTTACCAGTTTCCAGTTGAAAGAGCTTGAAAAAGCCTTCCAAGAAACACATTATCCAGATATTTATACTAGAGAAGATTTGGCTTTAAAATTGATCTTACTGAGGCAAGAGTTCAGGTAAATATTCATATTGAATTTATAAGGCTAATAAAAGAACCTAAATGATTGCAAAAAATTTTTATCATAAATAGAAGATATCAGCTATAGAATCACTGAAAATCTAAGGTCACTAAATGGTTGCTTTATCGTATTTTCTGATCCATCAACTGTGTACATCTATACTGAGCGCTATTAAATGCTGCTACTTTTGATTTCAATGGCCTTCGGACTTATGTTAGTCCATAATGTAAACTCTTTTAAAGTATTATTATTACTTGTCAAGTTTTACTGTTGAATTTCAACTGAAATTATTTACCGTCTTTATTTTAACAGCATGTTAGGCATCATTACTGTTATTACCTTAATGTAAGACGTCATTTATTTGCTACAAACAACTTTTATAGGCAAATACAAGTAGATGAACCTGGTTAAGTTGGCTGATGACATCCCATGATAAATACTATATTATTATTATTTGTCCCTTAGGTTCCTAGTGGGACATAGGGCTTCAGTAGCACTCTCTACTCTGAAAAATTTTGAACCTGGCTCCACGACAGCCAACAAGCTCTCATTTCCTCCTCACACGACCTCCTCCATGTCACCCTCGCCCATGACGCCCAACTCGTCACTTCCCATCTGGGTTACATTCGAGTACATGGCCTGATGCGTGATGTCCCCAGTCGACCTTCTCAGTGTATGCCTATCTCAATCCATCTTCACTTCCTTCTACATATCTGTTGAGTGATAGGTTCTTGCCTCGTTGGTTCGTTGCCAGTGAGCCAGAATCCCATTCCTTGTTGCTTATTCTAATTATTCTGGCTGATTGTTATTCTTCATGACGATGAAATTATCCCTTTTCAGACCTACAAACAATTTCTTTTGTATGTAGTTACAAACTCTAATTTTACATTCTTCTTTCTACATCTTTGTAGTATGATATGGTAGATTTATAAGGAATGAATTTAAAATTCATTCAAATTATTTTGAGGGAATTTATGATAAAAACTGAATAAGTTACAGTTTGTTTAAGTCGCAGAGTATTTGATAAATGAATTTTCAATGAAAATTTTGTTTTTTGGAATTCCTTAACACTGATAGTTATTTCATTTCAAGTATACTGTGACTTAAGAGTTTTAAAAATTCCCATCATGCAAATTAAAAAAACAAGACATATAAGCGAAGAATATTATTTTCAGTTAGATCCTCTTAAGTCTTTACTCTTACACAAATAGCTTTATATATTTACATGTATATAATTAAACCAATCATGTAGATTTATCGATTGATGTGGTAAATGTTTAAAATAACGATGAAGATAATAATACAAATAACAATAATGATAATGATAAAGTGATAAGGTTGACTAAATAATTATTTATTTTTGAGGTGAAATGGGTATTTCATTTTACAGATAGTACTCATCATAGGCTGATATTAGTTAGGGAACTATTCAAAACCCGATAACACTGGACGGCTGTTTTGTCATAAGATGGGACTCCTCAGCATGTACTCACCCAGGATCCGGTTAGGGATCGAACACAGAACCTTCAAGTTTCACCGTGAATGCGTTAACTATTCGGCCTCTGGTGTCGTCCAGTCGAAAGAAAAGACCTTGGGTGATAGTCACGCTATATCGTGAATTGACAGAAGTTGAGAACTGTGAACCACTACACTCCGACCCAGTCGCTGAATGGTTCGCCCGTTCACTGTGCAACCTGAAGTTTCTGAGTTCGATCCCCAGCCGGGTCGTGGGTGCAGACATGTTAAGAGATCCCATACTAGAACGAAACAGTTACTCAGTGTTCCCAGGTTTCTTATGTTTCCTCAACTGATGACATCCCATGATAAATACTATATTATTATTATTTGTCCCTTAGGTTCCTAGTGGAACATAGGGCTTCAGTAGCACTCTCTACTCTGAAAAATTTTGAACCTGGCTCCACGACAGCCAACAAACTCTCATTTCCTCCTCGCACAACCTCCTCCATATCACCCTCGCCCATGACACCCAACTCGTCACTTCCCATCTGGGTTACATTCGAGTACATGGCCTGATGCGTGATGTCCCCAGTCGACCTTCTCAGTGTATGCCTATCTCAATCCATCTTCACTTCCTTCTACATATCTGTTGAGTGATAGGTTCTTGCCTCGTTGGTTCGTTGCCAGTGAGCCAGAATTCCATTCCTTGTTGCTTATTCTTATTATTCTGGCCATCTGATCTTCAGTAACGAAACGGCGTAAGAAGTTGTTGATGAATGTCTGTAGTTTGTTGGAAATGCCTTTCGTAACGCGCCAAGTGTCTGAGCCATACAGAAGCACTGACTTGACTGGTGTTGGTGTTGGAAATCCGGATTTTATTCACGCTTTATGCTGAGTGCAGAAGATCTCCACCCTGGTTTCAGGTTAACGAAAGCCTGTCTTGCTGTGTTTCCGATCCTGACTTTGATGTCCTCGTCTGTGCCGCCTTTAGTTGAGACAGTGCTGCCTAGATAAGTGGATGGGGCTACTTCCTTCAAGTTTCTTCCGTTTATGGTCATAAAGACTACCTCCAAATTATTTACTATTTAAGGTTATTATTAATAACAGCATTAAAGACGATTTTGTGAAACGACTGGCTGATTACCTAGTTGAATGTCAAATCCTTGTTGTCTCATTGCACTTTACCACTGCTGAATATCAGTATTTTCGTTTCCTTAACTTTTGTATTGCTGACTTGATTCGCAAAGTGTTGCTGGGCTGTTTGATAGATTGGATCAATGCTAGTGAACCATGTATAATTTACGTCTTTTGTGTCAAATTTATTCCGGTTCGTTGCACTGATAAATTACAGATATATTCACTCCTTGACATTCTCTGTAGCTTGAATATTTAAACGAAACATTATCTTCAAATTCTTAACTCTTTGACGCAACTTCGTCTACTTTGGTATGAATATTTTTTTACCCACCTACTATTTTTGTGTGGTCACTTGAGCAGATGCACCTGTGTACGAGGTCCTACCTTGATTTTGTCATTGTCTGTCATCTTTCATGTCATTGTAAAGAATTAACGAGGATGCATATTTGATAATGACACTACCTTCTTTTATTTCTATCAGGTTTGGTTTCAAAATCGAAGGGCTAAATTCCGTAAAACTGAACGTGGTATTCAACCGGAGTCCACGGTCACAACAACATCAGTTACATCTTCAACATCACTCGCAACGGCAGTAACCGTAACTGGTAGGAATAATCCTGAACAAAACCTATCCACATCAGATGTTCATCACTATCTAATGGAAACCTCACTTTGTGATGTAAAATCATCTAGTGTAATTTCATCACTAGATCATTACAACTTGAGTGATACCATCAAGAACACTGAAGATGATGATCTGTCATACAGAAATAGTGGAGGGGAATTTCATCAATTTCCACCGTCAACTCATCTAAACAATGAGGTGAATTACTTAAGGGAAACAGATTCAATGGTTAAGAATCAGGACAGAATGGTTTGTCAAATAATGAGAAGGCCTATCCACACTTCAAGGACTCCATTTATTCCATGATGTTAAAATCGAATACATTTCAGAATGTAATTCACTCAAAGAAGTCATATTCTGATTGGATTAACTCATATTCTCTTAAAGAAATGGATTCTATCGACAATAATAGTGTACATCCATTGTATAAACTAACTCAAACGTGTAGACAAGTTGATAGACTGTTAACTGGTGGAACACAGGATATGGTTGACACTTTCACTAAGAAAATTCCAGAAAAGCAACAAAAATTCACAGGAAAAAAAAGTAGAAACTGTTATTAGTACTAAGGTTTAGTTTTTAAAGGGTAGAAAAACCGGTTTTCAACCTATTGAAAAATATATTCCATTGAATTACTATGATTACTATGACTTATTCATTATATTCAGAAAAGTGTATTGATTGAATTTCGTTGTAAGTGAACTGTAGAACAGATTGATCACTATGACTATTGGTTTTAACTTAATACTTTATTCATATTTTGACCATTTATTAACTTGTTAACTTCTGAAGCTTCAAGCTTTACATCACCAGTAAAATATATACTTTAAATTCTGTAACAACAGTGGTATATAAATAATATCAAGATATAAATATTCATAGTCAATCAGTCACTTTATTCCAGGTTATAATTCAACTTGACTTCGAATTCTATACAATTGATCAAGTGGGAGTTTCAGCTTATTTAACATATAGTTTGGTGAAATTCTCTCACTTTTTGCTGGGTTACTAAAGACCTCTTCTTGATTGCTTACCTGTCATTTATTGAAGGCTCTTCGAAAGCTTATAGTCATAGAATACTTATGAACTCGATAATTTTCTTTTACGCCTTTTTCGAATCTTATGTCTCTTTTAGAATATTCAATTCACCTGTACAAATCGCACTCTCATTTATCCTTTGATTATATTATTGTGGAGAAATTTAAAGTACACACGCAGTGTGAAACTGATCAATGTATCAATTGGAATGAGAAAAAACATTCACTTAAGTTTTTCTTCTTTCAGTCTGATATAATTTGCCTGTGGTTGAGGTAAGAGATGGAGATAATCATTTAGACTATTTGAGATAGCCGTAATTTGCCAGATTAGTATTTATACTGGGTGATGATTGAAGGCGAAATGAAAATTTAGACTGTGCCTCGTTATCGCTGGTTCATATCTGGATACGGTCCAGATTTTCACTTATCACTCAGTATGAATGGAGATAAATTACCTACCGTTATCAATATTTGATTATGAGTGTTATGCAATTCATCTAGTTTACGATCGTATTGTGTAAATTGCCAACATAATCACTTCAATCGTGAATCACCAAGAAAACCTTGCTGCGATTTTACTTGTGACTGTGAAACATTTATATTATCTTCCAAAAATAGTGTGATATTCTTTCTACAAATAACTGGACTTTTTTTACATTATTTCATGGTTGATTTATATCCGAGAAAGAGAATATCATTCTGACACTATCTGCTTGTTTAAAGCTGTATTGCATCCATCAAAGTTAATCAAGCATGTCTCTCTGGTAAACGCTCCATATATCAGAAAAAAATCGATTTGTGGGAAGACGAGGTGGAAATTGAACATGAAGAGGTGTATTAGTTGAATAATTACGAAACATTAAACATGAGATAACTGATTATTTAACTAAAAGTCTTTGACTATTTTTCAGTCTGAAGTGAATTCGTTGTTCATCGAAGAGTCTTAGAGAGGATGAATCATGCATTCTAGATTTCCCTCCTAGCCACTGGTAATCATTACTACCAACATTATTATTATTGTTATTTTCCCCTTGGGTTCCTATTGGAACATAGGGCTTCAGTAGCACGCCTCCATTCCACTCTCTTCTCTGAAGTCTTTTCAACCTGGCTACACGACTGCCCATAAAACTGCATTTCTTCCTCACACGATCTCCTCCATGTCACCCTCGACTGGGACACCCAACTCGTCGTCTCCACTTTGGGTTCCACTCGAGGGTCTGGCCTGGCCCGTAATGTCCCTAATTGGCCTTCTCAATGTATGACCAACATTAAATTGCTTATATTATTCAGATATCCTTATACAGTCCTATTTGTCGACAGTCCAGATCAGTTAGCGAGAGGGAAAGACTACGGATAAGGGATACAAAACACACCCAGCCACCTTGTTCACATCCACGCATTAAGTAATGAGCCACATCTAATGTGTGAGGGATACTGTTACTACCTAGGTGGCCAAACCTGGGTAGATGGAGTGGAAGTCGAGGTCATGACTCAATGTTTTGGTGATCACTTTCCTAAACCACAGATCCACACTCTACCAAGTATATATGATGTTAACGTAGTCCTGTGAAGCAGTTCCTAGATCAAGCCAAAGTGTGTTTCAAATTTTATTCTCAAAAGTGAGACTTTGAATGGTCGGTATACGGTGTTTACTGAAAACGACTTAGGTGACAGATGCTTTCACCATAGCTAGACGTTTCCCAATTAGATATCCTGAAAGGTGTTTCTGTGCAAGCATCTTTGTCAAAATGAATAAAATCAGGCTGTTAACCGTTTTCGAAGAGGATTTCGGTCAACAACTTAAACGCAATTATGTTTCAATTCTATGTGATCTAAATATTGTTGAAGTCAACTAGCCTGGTGAAGAACCGTCTAAGAACGAACCTTAAGGCTTTGAGAACAGCAAACAGTTATCGATTTAAGCTTATTTTCAAATCCAGATTTTCAACACCAATGTCAAGTCAGTGCTACTATATGGTTGAGAGATTTGGCGCGTCACGAAAAGCGTTTCCAACAAACTGCAGACATACATCATCGAAAGCTCCCCCTTATGCTCACTCAACACTGAAGATCAGTTGGTCAGAACAACAAGGATATGAAACAAGGAACTCTGGCTGGTTGGCAACGAACCAACGAAGCAGGAACCCATCACCCAACAAATATGCAGAAGAAAGTGGAAATGGATTGGATTGAACATACCCTGAGAAGACTATTCAAGGATATCACACGTCAGACCAGATCGTCGAGTGAAAGGCGAATGGGAAACGATGAGTTGGGTGTCTGAGTCGAGGGTGACATAGAGGAGATCGTGTGAGGAAGAAATGATAGCTTGTGGGCAGTCGTCTGGCCAGATTGAAAATACTGCAGAGAAGATCGTGAAATGTTGATGTGCTACTGAAGCCCTATGTCCCAATAGGAACCCAAGGGAAAAATAAAAATAGTAATAAAATAAAATGTATCTTAAGATCAGGTGTTTATAATCCATGGTCATTACAGAAGTGAATTTTTCAAGAAGCATAGGAATCTGTATTAGACAGTTCTTCATGCTTGAGGTTTGTTCGACGAATATTGAGAGCTTGTTTGCAGTAAAAGACTAATTTATAAAGCTGCTGTGGAAGGTCTTCAGCATTAAAACTCTCTTGTTGGTTTTCATGTAGCCATATGAGAAGGAGGTGCACTTATTTCTCTAACTGCAGCTCCTCGTATTTGCTAAGTAGCTGGTTATGTTAACGGAATGATTTTTTAAGTAAGAGACTGGTGATTGAAGCCATTATGATAAAGTTGTTGCTCTTAAGGTTGTGTGCTATAAAGCAGTTGGCGAGCTAAACCTAAAGTGGTACCATGAAGCTGCTGATATATTTAGATTACAGTCAGTAAATATGGTTGTATTAGTCATTCGTTTGCCTTCTGCGTAGTCCACATACTGTGTATACTGATTATGAAACAGGGCTCTGTCGAAACAAAGTCAAAAAGTCCTTTCGTTTATATTAAATTGCAAACTTTCACATGTGTTCGCATCCAAATGGTTCGTGGTGGAATGAATTTCACCTGGAAAGATCTTAAGAACTAAGACTAACCGAACTTCTGTTCACCTTTAGTTTGAGATAACTTGGTAGTGAAAATCAACGTCAATTGAAATCGTGTTGTAGCTGTACCATGACATGTATTTCGACATATGCATTTATATAATTTATCACCTTGAGATTCATCTTAAGATTTCTAAACAAGTGGTCAACAAATAGTGAACAGGTGTAAATAGTGCGTGCATCTGGCTTTTGAATGTTCCACAGTAAAAAAGGAGTTCCGATGATTCAAAATCGTCAAATGTTTTCTGCACCTATTGAAAAAATGTGGAAGTGCATAGGGCAAATCATTTTACCCATCTTGAATGTTTACTTCCAAAAACAAGTGTGTGACTATTTTACTGGAGACTGAAATGAGATTCAGTGGAGCGAAATAATTGAATACTAGAACATCAATACATATCTTCGTTAAGCTATCTAAGACAGCTTTGATTGGACAAAAGATCTTTTTTCGTTTCATGGTATGATGATAGCGAATGAGGGAGAAGCTGAGCTGTAATACGATTCTACTTAGAGACTTTATCAGTACCAGTGGGTGCTGTACTAATTCAGCTGTGTGGCTCTACTGGAAACAAAGTCTAAATCTAGTCCTACCGGGAAAACATCCATGCTAATATCAAAGTCCAGCGTGGCATGCGGTAGAGTTGTTGGTTATTATGTGTAAATACAATCACTTTTTGTTGAATATCAGAATATATCTAGATGACGTTTTAGAGAAAGACATAGACCACTGCTAATCTTTAAAACTCACTTGAGAAAAATTTTGAATAATTGTTCGCCGCTTTATTGTTTAATGCCAAGTCCTTGGGACCTAAAAGAATTATCTTCAGTAGGGATACTGAATGGTCAGAGACTTATGACGTCCCAGCATGGAATTAACTCCGAGCAAACAGGCAATGGATGGAGATATAAGATACCAGACTATTTCAGTCGCCTTCATGGGGCAAAATGTAGGATTTTCAAAGTAAATTGAGGGGTATGATTTGTTAGATTCCACCGAATTCAACTTTCAGGTAAGTAACCTGAAGAGGATGTTAAACGATAAACATATATTAGATACGTAAACCGTGCACAAGGTTCTATTGAGACACCAGAAAACAAGGAGCAGGATTTCATAGCTCCGTTTTTTGGATATACTGCAGTCAGCAACAACGAATGTGGATCCACTTCAATTGATTTTAATGAGGAAAAACCTCTTATGAATTATCAAATATAGATTGGCTATCCATTGTCTTACTAGCTGGAAAATTAAATAACAGGGAAACGAGAAAGTGGTACAACTTATGATTTAAGAGGCATACAATAGTTTAACCAAATACAATTACATAATTATAAACCACTGACAACTATTAGAGCCAATCTTTCTAGTCAAGATGATGAATAAATTGATACCATCCATGAAATAACAAGTAAGATATAAACTAGGAAAGGGGAGTACATTGA